GCGGTACACGTTAGTCCGCAGTGATCAGCTGTCGTGTCTCCCATTTTTCTATGGGATGTTTGTACGCAACATCCAACTCGATATAGCGGTTGATGCATGAGACATCGGAGTGCATTGCTCCAAGGAATTCTCGACCCTTTTTGAAGATGCAAACTCCGACAGTGCGTGTTTGCCCCATGCAGAGGTGTGTCCTGTATCAAGACAATGCATAGCCACTTCGGACAAATGATCAGGGCTTTTACTGCCAGCTGTGGTCGTGGATGTGTGTGGAGACGGATCTTCCTGTTTGCCCACTATATACGGTATCACAAGCTTCACAAGTTTCACAAGGGATCTTGTAGATGACTTTATTCTTATCGAGACAGCCAACTCTATCTTTAGGGTGTATAAGTTCGGTGCATAAAGTAATCGTCGGTTCCTGCGCCACATTTATTTGCTATTTCCGCAAGTGCCTTTCAACGAGTTCAGACACGTTCCTTATATAAGAAAGGATTCGCCATGTGTTTATATTGGGCCACTGAATGGAACTACCTGGTTCCCTCTTGTTGGATTGTTTTTGTTTTATGCATCGGTGTACAAATTCTCTGGAGTAACCAGTGCGGGAAAACAAATCAAACAGATAACTGAGCTCGACTCGGTAGGATTCTTTGCCAAAGCAGAGTGTCTTCCCTCGGCGTAGTAGACATGCTGATGGCACCCGTTTTGTGAGAGATAGGTTGTTGTTCTCATTCTTAAGAATAACTTCCGCATATGTTTCTTTGCGGTAAACGGACGTTTGTAACGTTCCGTCAATATTTCGCTGCACGAGCACATCCAGCAATGGTTTTTTTTGCAAATTTCCATCCCGAGCTTGCTTGAACGCCCGGAATGATCGAGTTGATGTTGTTGTGGAGCGCTTCAGTTGTTCCTTCTTAACGACAACAACTGTGTCACCTGCCTTTCGTGCCCACAACTTAGGGTTAACAAATGAAAGGGCCATCGATTCCAGCTTCGGCAATGAATCCAGATATGGAGTTCCTTGTAACTGCTGATAGTACTGATGGTCAAATGAAAAATTGGTTTCTAGGCACATAAATACGAGTTAAAGTAGGGGTGCGGCAGGAACCTTCGTTTCGTAAGTAAAATGCAGTTTGGAAACTTTGCATGCAAGTGTAACTACTGATGGGGTTCACATATTTTCGGTAATTTTGAAAATTTTGAAAAGCAAATATACCTTATCTTCAAGTATAAGCTTGACGCGGGCGAAAATTTCTACCAAACGTCTAAAAGAAAGAGAATTGTATGTGTGGTTTTTAGAATATTAAAAAAAGCACAACAGTAATACTATTGAATCAGCCGCATTTATGGAAATGTTGTCCCACGGTCGTAAAAGCTGGCATCCTGATATTACAAAAATATTTCGGGCTTAGACGGCAAAATGTGAAGTATTACAACTCAACGCAGGTAAGATATTTTATAAAGGCAAACGTTTAAGAATTAAGCTAAGTCTTTTATGGGATAGGGAATCCCTTTCGAGCGTTTATTTTTTCTCACATGCTCCTTCGTGGACACCCCAAGTGTACCAACATTTCACACGAACCTCGGATAAACTTGATTTCCGTTTTAAAACACAAACCATCCTGTCCCAACTAACTGAGTTTTTATCTGTTGCTTACGATTTGACTCATGATTTATCGTCGAGTAAAGTCAAACCAGAATACGAGGGCCGTCAAGTGTGGTTCAACGCCTGCCTGACGGTAAACGAAGCATTAAGTTGCAAACGATTGGGGAAACAATGCGTAAGTTCAATTACCGGGCCGAGTTGGGCAGCGCGTTGATGCACAGTTCCGAACAAGACATAAGTGACGCCTGCGATGTTTCTCGCAAAGCCTGTCA